TAGACAAATAATAGAAGAACAAACATCTTATTACACAATTTTTTTTAAAAATAGAAGACTCTCCTGCCCTTGAGGAAACCATGAGCCCTTGAGAATGTCAGATGGTAAATAAATCAATAATTTGAACACCATGTGAAAAGAGCTAGAATGGGGCATTGCGAAGGAATGCAGTGGGAAGAATGACAGGTTGGTTGGTTTCACATTCACTGGGATATTTTGATTTGTATAATAATAACGCCTCGTTTCGGATCTTACAACCTTGATTGGACATTTTTCAGCAGAGCATCAAAAAGGAGATCGCTAGATTGCTATACATGTGAAATCGCCACTAGAAGAAAAAGGAAAGCATTTGTCTCCATCAGGGTGGTCCTTGAACATAAACAGCAAACATTGTAGGTGGTACATAATTTAAATGAAAATGATGTGTTAATAAATATAGGAAAATATTCAGATCAGCACGTAAGTTCATATTGGGTCATCAGAATGCATTACAATTTTGCAAAGATAAAACGCTGAATGACATTTTCTTTCTTTTTTTGAGACGGGGTCTTGCTCGGTTGCCCAGGTTGGAGTGGAGTAGTGTGGTCATAGCTCACTGTAGCCTCAAACTCCTGGCCTCAAGCAATCTTCCTGCCTCAACCTCCTGATTAGCTGGGACTACAGGTACACATCACCATGCCCAGCTAATTAAAAAAATTTTTTTTTGAGGCAGAGTCTCACTGTCACAGGCTGGAGTGCAATGGTGCGATCTCAGCTCATGGCAACCTCTGCCTCCCAAGTTCAAGGGATTCTCCTGACTCAGCCTCCTGAGTAGCTGGGATTACAGGTGTGCACCACCACGCCTGGCTAATTTTTGTATTTTTAGTAGAGATAGGGTTTCACCATGTTGGTCAGGCTGGTCTCAAACTCCTGACTTTGTGATAACTGTGGCTTGGAAACTGGTTCTCAAAGGCTACTCCCTGGACCAGCAACCTCAGCATCCTCTCGGAACTTGCTAGAAGTTTAAGTTCTCACTCCCACCCCAGCCCTACTCAGGGTTTTCACAAGCCCTCCTGGTAACTCCAGTGCCCACTCAAGTTTGAGAACTGAGGGATAGGGCTTTGCTCTGAGGCTTCCAATGTCACGGATGGTTTATTACATCTATAATTTTCTTTTATTTCCTTTTCTTTTTTTTGACATGGAGTCTTGCTCTATCACCCAGGCTGTAGTGCAGTGGTGTGATCTCGGCTCACTGCAACCTCTGCCTCCCAGGTTCAAGCAATTCTCCTGCCTCAGCCTCCCAAGTAGCTGGGATTATAGGTGTGCGCCAGCATACCCAGCTAATTTTTGTGTTTTTAGTAGAGACCGAGTTTCACCATGTCGACCAGGCTGGTCTTGAACTCCTGACCTCAAGCGACCTGCCTGCCTTGGCCTCCCAAAGTGCCGGGATTATAGGCGTGAACCACCACACCCAGCCTATGTCTAGAATTTTCTGTATTGATGACTTAATTTGTTCCGATTCTTTATATTTCATGTAATAGGGTTCCAGAAAAAACTGTCATTAGCAATTAGAAAAGGAACTCCAGTGCCTGGAGTTCCAAATGCCCAGACTGAACTTGAATCTCCCCCAACTCAGACAAAAGATCAGTTGTCAGCTAACCTCAGGACACAGCTGACCTCCATTTTCTCAGACACAGCTGCAGCAGGTGAGGTGCCTTGTCTTGAAGGTTTCCTGAGTTCCACAGTCCCTTTCTGGTCTAGGCCGGAACTACTCAATCTTTAAGGGGCTGCCAAACTCCTAGAGCGAGGAGAGGGAGAGTGGTTCGGGAAAGGTCTTCAGCTGCAGATTCTGCTTCAACAGGCTTGGGATTGGGTTGAGCTTCTAAGTTTCCTTTTTTTTTTTGAGACAGAGTCTCACCGTCACCCAGGCTGCTGGAGTCCATGGGTGCAATCTCAGCTCACTACAAGTTGTGCCTCCCAGGTTCAAGCCATTCTCCTGCCTAAGCCTCCTGAGTAGCTGGGATTACAGGCATGCGCCACTACTCCCGGCTAATTTTTGTATTTTTAGTAGAGACGGGGTTTCACCATGTTGGTAAGGCTGGTCTCGAACTCTTTACCTGAAGTGATCCACCCGCCTCAGCCTCCCAAAGTGCTGGGATTATAGGCATGGACCGCCGCACCTGGCTGGGTTTAGGTCTGAATTTCCTACAAATTCCCAGAGGATGCTAAGCTGCTGAGGGTCATTGAGTAGAGAGGCTCTCTGCAAACTGACAGCCTCAGCTGAGACAGATAATGCAAGAATACAGCCCAAATTTGGAACCTGCCACCAGGAGGAGGTTGCAGGAATACAGAGGGAAGCCAGGCCAGGGGAACTCAGGGAAGTGGTGGAGATGGAAACACAGATGAAATTCAGAAGGAAGCAGGTGAGGGAAGCTGGATCTGAAACTCAAGGGCTGCAATAGAGTTAGTCCAGGAGCCCCTGCGGGTGGGCAGTGAAAACCCTAAGCCAAGCCCGGCGAGGCGGCGGGGTTTCGCTGGTCGCAGAGCCCGGGAAGGGGGAGCCCAGAAGCGCTCGGGAGGTGGCGCCATAGCCCAGAGATTGAGCGGGTTCAGAACCGCAGGTTCAAATCCCGTCTCTGCCTTTTACGTGCTGTGTGGGCTTCGGCAAGTTACTCAACCTCTCTAAGCTTCAGTTTCCCTCGTGTGTGAAGTGGACACAATACACACACAAAAATCGCTTACAGGTTCTTGGAGTTTTGAGATTTGTAGGGCGCTTTCTTGTTTCTTATTGCTTAATATTGGTCATTGATACTCTCTCTTATTTTTAAACTGTTATTATTTTTTACCAGGCAGTCTCCGAGCCAGAGTAGGCTCAGAGACTCCCTTATTTTTTTCTTTTTTCTTTCTTCTTTTTCTTTTTTTCTGTTTTGAGATGCAGTTCCACTCTCATTGCACAGGCTGCAGTACAATGGCACGATCTCGGCTCGCTGCAACCTCCCGGGTTGAAGAGATTCTCCTGCCTCAGTCTTCCAAGTAGCTGGAATTACAGGCTTCCACCACCATGCCCGGCTAATTTTTTCTATTTTTAGTAGAGACGGGGTTTCACCTTGTTGGCCAGGCTGGTCTCGAACCCCTGAACTCAGATGATCTCCCTGCCTTGGCCTCCCAGAGTGCTGGGATTACAGGGTGAGCCACTGCTCATGGCCCATTTCTTTGAGTTTGTGTGCTGTTCTTTTCCTTGCATTTAAGCTAGATGGTTTGCCGGCTTATTTTCAGCCTCTTTCCTTTTCCCACATTTGTATTTAAGGCTTTACACTTTTTTTGTGGGATTGTTGTGTGGCTTACATAAGCAAAAAGTGTAGTGGGCTGAGGCTATTCCAGGCACATGGAAATTGCTCAGTATGTTTAGTGACATGAATGATGGTTTTGATTATTATTATTCTCTTCTGAGACAGTCTCACTCGGTCACCCAGACTGGAGTGCAGTGGTGTGATCTCACCTCACTGCAATCTTCACCTCCCAGGTTCAAGTAATTCTCCTGCCTAGGCCTCCTGAGCAGCTGAAATTACAAGTGTGCACCATCATACCTGGCTAATTTTTTTTTTTTTTTTTAGAGTTTGTTTCATTCTTGTTGCCCACTTTGGAGTGCAGTGGCACAATCTCAGGTCACTGCAACCTCCACCTCCCGGGTTCAAGCGATTCTCCTGCATCAGCCTCCCAAGTAGCTGGAATTACAGGCATAAACCACCATGCCTGGCTAATTTTGTATTTTTAGTAGAGACAGAGTTTCACCATATTGGCCAGGCTGGTCCAAACTCCTGACCTCAGGTGATGAACCCACCTCGGCCTCCCAAAGTGCCAGGATTACAGGCATGAGCCACTGCACCCGGCTAAGCAAAATGCATTCTAAATGACCCCTCACACACGCGTAGGTAGAGGACACACACACAATCCCACAACTACAATGACACACAATCAGAAACACAATCACACACACACTGTGGGAAGCCAGAGATGCCACCCCAAAGATGCCCAGCACGTCGTCCCTGGACCCGGTGTGTATCTCAGGTCACTCGGCAAAGCAGCTTTGCAGATGCGATTATAGCATGTGGACTGTCACTGGGGAATCTTCCTGGATGCCAATCTCATCACCCGAGTCCTGAATCGTGGAAGACTTTCTCTAGCTGGAAGCACAAGAGCAGCGTGGCAGGAGAGGTCGGAGAGGTTCCAAACATGAGAAGGTTTGGGGCAGTGTTGCTGGCTCTGAGATGGAGGGTCCAATGGGCAGGGACCATGGAGAGCGGGAGAAGCATGGGTGGAGAAGAGCAGTGAGTTTTCAGGGCAGTGAAAGCATTCTGTCGTCCACTGTCAGAGGGGATAGGATACATTATGTATTTTGCCTCTGATCTCAGGTCCTGGGGAAGAGGCAGGAGCGGCACATGCAGTCCATCAGCAGGAGCAACTCTTCCTAGAGAGCAAGGGCACAGGTTAGCCCCCAGCAGAAGGGATGGAGGTTAGACCACCCCAGTGGGATTAGAGGATGACTGACAGAAGGATAGGGGAAGTTAACTTCCGGGAGGATGTCAGAGGACCCTCTGCTGCAGGAGGACACTAATCAGCCACTGCGGTAGGAGCAGGAGATAGCCCACTGCAGGGAGGGTAGAGGTTAGCCCAGCAAGAGGCATGGAGGTCTCTTTCGGCAGAGCCAGCTCAGGATGGACCCACAGCCACAAGGAAGGCCGGAACCTCCGTCCTACAGCAGCAACGAACAGCGATCTGCCAACAATGTGGCTGACCCTGAAACGAGCTTTTTCCCAGAGCCCCAGTAAGAACCCAGCAGCGACGCTTGGATTCCAGCCTGTGAGCCCCACAAGAGAGAAACCGCCAGGGCCAGCGAGCCTCTGACATCAGACCCCAGCTCATCAACTGTGTCTCTGGAAGATGCTGCCTTTCGGGTGATTTGTTACGGCAGCAACGCAAAGGAAATGCACACCGACACACACGCAGGTGCACGCCATCCGTGCCTTTTCCTCACTCTTTATTTCAACAAGGGTTATAAAAAGTAGAAAAATAAACATTTTCCCAGAGGCGAGTTGGGTTTACACACACAAATACATAAATAGCAATTGGGTGGCAATAAATTAAGACAAGTGGTTGATGTATAAATAAAATCTTAGATTCCATGATGGGTGGCAGGGAGGTGGGAAGGTCAGACACACAGGTCCCCGCTGGCGACGCATTTCAGGTCCCGAGTGAGGAGGCGGAAGAGGTTGAAGGTGACAGAGGCCTCGAGGCAGCCAGGGGACTCCTGCAGGGGAGGAGGGGATGGGTCAGGGGCTGTCCAGGATCTGGGCTCCCAGTGGCTCCCGAGACGCCAGTGTCTCCCCTCCTGGGTCACTCACCTTTTTCGAGGCCTCCTGTAGCCGGTGCAGCCAGTGGTGGAGGCGGCCCCGGGGCCTGGGCCTCGCCGTGGGCTGAGGCTGGACCTGTGTGCAGAGGAGGGTGGTGTGTGAGGCAGGGCTGGGCCAGCACAAGGGAAGCCGCTTCTCAGAGCCCACAGACCTGGGTGCCCGGGCCCCCGAGGACTCACACAGGCCCGGAGCTGGGAGAGGACGTGGTGCAGGGTGTGAAGGGGCTGGTCGAGGACGTCCCCCAAGGCCGTGTCATTGTCAGCGGTGGCCTCCAGAACCTCCAGCGTCAGGGCCAGCTCAGCCTCCAAGGCCACGAGGCGCTCCCTCACCTGAGAAGAGGTGAGAAAGAGCAGGTGAGAGGAAGAGGTGGTGGGGAGGCGAACAGAGAGGAACCAGTGAAGGTGACAGGCACAGGGGAGAGGGCACAGCCAGTGGGGTCAGGTGGGAGCAGAGGGAAGGGGGAGCAGGTGTGGGGAGAGGAGAGGGGACAAGGTAGAAGGAGAAGGTGAACTGGCCACTGCAGCGCCTGGGGAAGGGGGGGGGGTGGGTTGGGGTGGGCCTGACTCTCGCTCTCACCTGCAGCTGCCTCAGGTCCCAGGTCCTGGGGAAGAGGCGGGAGCGGCACCTGCAGTCCTTCAGCAGAAGTGACTCTTCCTAGACAGCAAGGGCACAGGTTAGCCCCAGCAGGAGGGGTGGAGGTTAGACCACTCTGGGGGGATTGCAGGAGGGCTGACAACAGGATAGGGGAGATGAACTGCTGGGAGGACCCTGCACTGCCAGGAAACATGAATCGGCCCCCTGCAGTAGGAGCATGAGATAGCCCACTGCAGGAAGGGCAGAGGCTACCCCAGTGAAGGAAGCTGGGAGGGAAAGCATGGTGACCCTTGGAGTGGGGGTGGAGGCTAGCCCGTGGCAGGAGGGCAGGGGGAGACTCACTAAGGCATCTTTGGCCCTCTTAAAGGCCTGCAGCTCCTGTGGGGACAGGGACTTGAACTGGGCTATGTGGCAGCCCCTTGCATCCGGGAGGGCCCCGAGGGGCCTGGTCACAGGAACTGCTCCAGTGACGGTCAGCACTGCGGCCATCAGCACCAGCACTGCCATGCAGCCCCCACTCATGCCTGTGTCACAGAAAGAAAGGGAGCTGAGGGGATGGAGCGGCTGCCCCCTGAGGGCAGGGCTGCAGGAGCTGAGCATCTTGGACAGAGATGTGGGGCTCACCTTGTTTCATTCCTGATCTCTGGGCTTCGTCAGCAGAAGGACCACTCTGAGGCTGTCACCCGGGGTCTCTCTGGGTCTTCTTTGGAGTCTCTGTTGTTTTCAGTCTCCTCTTCCAGATCTCAGCCTGTGTACTGGCCTTGACTCTTTCTATCAATTTCGAGCTCTGTCTGGGATGTGATTGCTGCCTGAGCTCCATGGGGCAGCTTTTATCCCGGACAGAAGGGCAGCCCCAGCTGATGTAGGAAAAGTGAAAACACAGCCTTCAGGTAAGAAACCGGCCACCAGGGGAGCCCCAGGTTGGGAAAGCCCAGGGCAGGGCGGGGCCCGTGAGCCAGGTGAGCAACTGGAGGAAAAGAGAAACTGATGCAGACTCAGGGATCACCTACAGGAAAGTGTGCTCCCAAGAGGTTTCTGCCTGCTCTGGTTATGTTGTTGTTTAAGACAGGGTCTTACCCTGTCACCAGAGTGCAATGGCATGATCATAGCTCACTGCAGCCTCAAACTCCTGGACTCAAGCAATCCTCCTCCTCCAGCCTATAAAGTGCTGGGAATATAGGCCTGAGCCACCACTCCTGGCCAGTATATACATATTTTGAGACAGCGTCTCATTCGGTCACCCAGGCTGGAGTGCAGTGACTCAGTGCAACCGCCGTCTCCTGGGTGTAAACGATTCTCTTGCCTCAGCCTCCCAAGTAGCAGGGATTACAGGCACGGGCCACCATTACCAGCTAAATTATATATTTTTAGTAGAGACAGTGTTTCACCATGTTGGACCATGCTGGTCTCAAACTCCTGACATCAACTGATCTGTCTGCCTCGGCCTCCCAAATTGCTGGGATTGCAGGTGTGATCCACCATGCCCAGAGGCCAACATTTCTTAATAGCCCAGGCAGGTAAGGGCTCAGGAATATGAGGCTCTGCTCGAGAACTGAGGTGTGACCAAGGACTTGGACACCACGTGGGTGCTGTTCTTCTTAGGGAAGTTCAGGCAGTGATGAAGAGCATGAGTCCTGGAGCTGAAGGGTCTAAGGTTCAAATCTAGTTCTGACCCTCACTAGCTGTGTGACGTTGGCAAGGAGGGGTGCATTCAGCAACACTGATTGCTGATGCACAGATTTGCAGAAAAAATTAAAAACACAGCTCTTTGTTTATGTGAGTGACTATTTAATGGGACCCACTCATTAAGACCATACCAGGACCTCAGCTGGAGAGTTTAAAACGTGATCTCAATGTACACTACTCCTCCACAAGGCAAGTATGCTAACCCATCCTATAGGTGAGGAAACACAGGCTCAGAAAGCAATTTGTCCTGCATCACACTTTAATTAACTGGCAGGGTGAGAACTGAAACTCAGGCCACCTGAGTCCCTGGCTCAGCCTCTATTTTTGCTGTAAAGCGCAACTCAGAACCATCATATGGAAAACAACCAATGCAATCAAAACACTCTTAATAACTGCAATAAATTTAAACCAGGAGCCAGAATAGCAAATACACAGGAATGTCACAAATACAAACAACGTCAATCAGGGAATCTAAAGAACCACAGTCAGGTGAGGATTCTTGGATTTCACTACCAAACCCTCAGGGATGGTACCCCCCAGATGCCGAATCCAAGAGTCACAGATTCACAGAATCTCAAAGCTGGCTGTGGGGTGGCAAATCCAGGGTTGGGCCCCGGGTTTGGGGGTGTCCTGGTAACCACACAAGGAGGAACTGGTGCCGTGCCTGGGGTCAGCCACGGTTTCCAGACCTCAAGTCTCTTCCTGCTACAGCAGCCCTTGGAGGATCACACAATGCACCCCGAGGAAATATCGCTGCTTCCTGGGGACCCGCGCCTCTTGTATCCGAGACAGAGCATCCAAGTCAGGCCCAAGACTGCAGAGAAGTTCTTGTGCCTCATTGCCCATTGGCTGAGAGCCTCGCCCGGTGGGGCCAATGGGCGAAAGGGGCCACTTTCGGCAGCCAATGGCCTGGAGGTTTCGGGGCTGGCTTAAGGGGCGGGGTCAGAGGCAAGGTCCTGAGTGCGCCGCCAGCCGGAGCTCCCACGTGAGCAGGCGCAGGAGGTTGAAGACCACTCGGGCTTCGCGGCACCGAGGCGAGTCCTGGAGCCCGGGAGGGAGCACAGCGGGGCTGAGTCAGGCTCTTCCCTCCCGAGGAGCCCCCTCTAGTCCCGCCGCTCCCAGCCCTGCTCAGTGCCGGCCTTGTCCGCCTCGCCCGGTCGTCCCTGCAGGCTAAGCCTGTCCTACCGGCTGCACTCACAGGTCTCCGCGGCTTGTGACGCCTCCTCGGGGCCCCGGGGACCTTCCTGGAGGAGTCGGGCCGGGCCAGCTCGAGCTGGAGGGGGAACACGGGGCCAATGGGGAAGGCGAAGGACGGAGCCCCCCACTCCCTCTGCATCTGCCCGTGGCTCCCCAGTCGCAGACCCGAGCCCGGCTTTGTGGACACCCGGAGGACCCGACCCGGGTCTGGACGGGGTTTTCCGCTAAGCGGGACAGACTCGCAAAGCGCGGGGCTCACAGAGGACGCAGAGAAGCCGGCGGGGGCGCGGGGCGAGGGGCGGCGGGGCGCGGCGGCACTCACACAGGCCGCCACGTCCCTCCCCGCGGCCGCCAGCAGCTCCAGGATCGGGCCGGCGCCGGGGAGCAGCTCCGGGCGGTGCAGGCGGCTGAGCACCGCCTGGGCGTCCGCTATGCCTCGGGCCACGTGTCGGAGCCAAGCGCAGGACTGCGGGGACGCGCGGGCGTTAGACGGGCCGCGATCCGGCCGTGCCTCCCCCGCCTCCCGTCCCGGGCCTCACCGACGGCCGCAAAGGATCCCTCCTGGGGTGGAAGGAGCAGTTGCGCGACCCCCAGCTCAGCGCCTCTTCCTCCTGCGGGACAAGCGGCAGGTATCGCGTACGGATGGGCCCCCTCGCTAGGGCCCCTAACCGCTGAGCGGTCTGGCATTGCTGGACGTGGATAGGCACTGGCCGGGTACGGTTGTGCGTGTCGTACACTGAACCGCGAGCTCCCCGGGGGCGTGAACCAGGGCTGAATTGCACCCCGCGCTCCCCCAGCGAAGCCCTGCGCCCCGACTTGGATCGGAGTCCGCCCGGCAGGGTGCCCTTCTGTGACTGACCCTGAGCCTGCGTTCGCGCTGACGACGGGGCCTGCGGGGCCTCTTGTTGGGAATTGTGGGCTGTGACTTACGAGAGGCGCTGGGACATAGGACCCCTCGGGACAGGGACGGACGTGTAGGCACCCATCCGGCCGGCGCCGGGGAGCAGGGCCAGGGTCCCGGGGACCCAGGGGCTGGGCGGTCACTCACGTAGCGGTCCCTCAGCGCCTTGGCCGCTGCCAGCGTCCGGGGCTCCAGCGAGCGGTAGTGGGAGAGCAGGCAGCGCCGGGGGGCCGCCGCACCCACCGTGCACAGGACCCACAGCCCCGCAGCCACCGCGGCCGCGACACTTGGCCGCATCTCTGCTCCTGCAGGAGGCCAGGGACGTCAGGGAGGCCAAAGAGAGGGGTCCACGCGTCCAGCCCCTGCCTTGGGTCAGGCTCGCAAGGGGAGGGGATGCTCGGAGCGCGAAGGCGCAGTACGAGCAGGGGAGAGACAGTTGGGACGGTCCCCTCCTCGCCTCGGCCTCTGCCCTCACTCCTCCCTGTAGTGGACCCTCTGTGCCTGGCGCTGAGGCAGGTGTTGCCGTCCACTGGTCCCTTGGAGGCGTCCAGAGCAGTCTCCACCTGGGCAACAGAGCTTCGACGGCCCATGCTGGCTTTTATGTGCAGGACTGAGAAAGGCTTTGCAGCTGGGCTTCCCCATCCCGGGCAAGCTTTCGGAACGTCACTGCTGGCCGCAGGCCTTCGAGATCCCAGTCGGGTGTGAGGACTTCAACCCAAGGTTGGCCTGTGCCAGGGATGGCTGGCCTCCAACACTCGGTTTCCAAATCGTCTCTGTCCCTGTTTCTACTGTTTCTTCTTGCTTTGCTTCATCCTGGTTGTCCTTATCTTTGTTCTGCCACCACAACCAGCCCTTGTATAGTGTTGACTGTGCATCAGGCCCTCTTCTATGTAATTGACACAGAATATCATCTCATAAATATGTATATGTATATATATATATATATATATATAAACCAGGGCAGCCCTGCAGGTGTAGCTGAGAACGAGAAAGCTGCTTTTATTTCAGTTTAGAGACAGGGTCTTGCCTTGTTGCCCAGCTTGTAGTAGTGGCACGGTCACAGCTCACTGCAGCCTCAACCTCCCAGGTTCAAGCAGTCCTCCCACGTCAGTCTCCCAACGTAGCTGGGACTGCCGGTGGGTGCCGCCACCATTTTTTGTAGAAACCTGGTTTTGCCCCGTTGCCCAGGCTGCTCTCTAACTCCGGAGCTCTGGCCATCCGCCCTCCTCAGCTTCCTAAAATGCTTGGATTACAGGCCTGAGCCACTGCGCCTGGCCTCATTATTTTCTTAAATCGTTTTTCTTTTATAGTCTCTTTATTTATAGGTGCATTGCCTAAAAGAACTGCAGATGGCTCGAAAGGCCACAGAAGGTTCAGGCCGCTTCCTTTGCCCATTATTGGAGGAAGATAAGGCTGGGCAAAAAAGTGCAAACCAGACCCGGTGACCCATGATTACCTTTAGATCATTAACATATAATTATGCTGACCACCCCCCCATGGAGGAAAATACCCTGGCCAATTGCTGAACATACATCATGTGAAGAGGGGTGTTTATGATCTGCACCTGCATCTGGAGTTACTCCCTGCTCATGCTTACATACCTCCCACCCCACATCTAACTCCTTAACATTTCTCAGCTCTCCACAGCTGGGCGATAAGGCATCTTTGCTTTTTATTTATTTATGGGGTGTTTTTTTGTTGATTTTTTTTTTTTTTAGATGGAGTTTTCCTTTTTTTTTTTTTGAGATGGAGTTTCGCTGTTGTTACCCAGACTGGAGTGCAATGGCACGATCTCAGCTCACTGCAACCTCCACCTCCTGGGTTCAAGCAATTCTCCTGCCTCAGCCTCCCGAGTAGCTGGGACTACAGGTGTGCACCACCATGCCCAGCTAATTTTTGTATTTTTAGTAGAGGTGGGGTTTCACCTTGTTGACCAGGATGGTCTCAAGCTCTTGACCTCGTGATCCACCTGCCTCGGCCTCCCAAAGTGCTGGGATTATAGGCGTGAGCCACCACGCCCAGCCGGAGTTTTGCTCTTGTTGAATCTCCCTCTATGGCCCAAGCTGGAGTGCAGTGGCACCATCTCGGCTCACTGCAACCTCCACCTCCCGGGTTTAAGCAAGTCTCCTGCCTCAGCCTCCCAGGTAGCTGGGATTACAGGCATGTGCCACCACCCCCAGCTAATTTTTATATTTTTAATTGAGATGCAGTTTCATTATGTTGGTCAGGCTGGTGTGTAACTCCTGACCTGAGGCATCTTGGCCTCCCAGAGTCCTGAGATTAAAGGCGTGAGCCACCACGCCCAGCGATAAGGTGGCTTTAGAGCAAGAGTTCTCCCCTTCCCCATCCTAGTCAGGAATAACATGTGCTTGCCTTTTTGTTTCCAATTGGGTGTTCTTTCTTTGCAACCAATGCAGAGTAGGGAAGGAACTCTGTTTACGGGTGACAGTTTCATTGTCAAAAATGACGTAAGACTGGACACAGTGGCTCAAGCCTGTAATTCAGCACTTTGGGAGGCCGAGGAGGAAGGATTGCTTGAGGCCAGGAGTTTAAGACCAGCCTGGGCAACACAGTGAGACCCTGTCTCTACAAAACATAAGGGATTAAAAAAATTAGATGGGCATGGTGGTGTTACTGGAAAAGGGTCCCAATCCAGATCCAAAGAGAGGGTTCTCAGGTCTAGTGCAAGAAAATCTGGGGGAGTCCACAGTGCAAAGCAAAACCAACTTTATTTAGAACAGTAAAGTGGTGGCCGGGCATGGTGGCTCACACCTGTAATCCCAGCACTTTGGAAGACCAAGGCAGGGGGATCACTTGAAGTCAGGAGTTCAATACCAGCATGGACAACATGGCAAAACTCTGTCCCTACTAAAAATACAAAAAAATTAGCCAGGTGTGGTGGTGCACACCTGTAGTTCCAGCTACTCGGAAGGCTGAGGCAGGAGAATTGCTTGAACCTGGGAGACAGGTTGCCATGAACCAAGATAGCAGCGCTGCACTCCAGCCTGGCTGACAGTGAGAAAAAGAAAGTAGTGAGGAAGAGCTACTCCGTAGACAGCAGGGTGTTCCTGAAAGTGGGGGAATGGGCCACCCTGGGTACCACAAAAATCATGGGGAGATGTGCTCTGCTCAAGGCTTTGTGATAAAGGATTAAATTTCTTAATTACCGTATTTTGCAAGAACTGATCTTCCTATCTTTAAACAAAATTAAGAATGCTTCTCAAGATTTCGGGATTTCAGGACATTCCTGAGTCTGAGTCTGTTTAGTAAACGTTATGCATTGGTTCCCTTAACCATAAACACCTAGAGACTAGGAATACCTAACTTCCTGGAATGCAGCCCAGCAAGGCCCAGCCTCATTTCCCTAGCCCTCACTCAGCATGGAGTCACTTGGGTTCAAATCCCTCTGACAGTGAACAAGCTTTGAAACTGGGCAGTGTGTGAGTTCAAGCCCCACCTCTGCCATTTTCAGCTGTGTATCTCTGAACAGTTCCTTTACTTTACTGGGGCTGAGATGGGAGGATCCCTTGAGTCTGGGAGGTTGAGGCTGCAGTGAGCTCTGGTTGTGCCACTGCACTGCAGCTTGTGGAGAGACAAGCTGGGTGACAGAGACTCTCTCAAGAAAAAAGAAACAAAAGGGATGTTCTGTTACCTTATTTTACAGATGGGAAACTAAGGCCCAGTAAAGGAACTGTTCAGAGATACACAGCTGAAAATGGCAGAGGTGGGGCTTGAACTCACACACTGCCCAGTTTCAAAGCTTGTTCACTATGCCATAACTGCCCTTATTTTTTTCAGGTTCTCCTCCTATGTCTTGCTTTTTGTTCTCTCTCTCTCTCCCTCCCTCCCTCCCTCTCTCCCTCACTCCCTCCTTCTCTCCCTCCATCTCTCTCCCTTCCTCTCTCCCCCCCTCCTTCTCTCTCCCTCCCTTTCTCTCCCTCCCTGTCTCTCTCCCTCCCTCCCTCTCTCCCTCCCTCTCTCCCCCGTCTCTCTCTCTCCCTCCGTCTCTCTCCCTCTCTCTCCGTCTCTCTCCCTCCGTCTCTCTCCCTCTCTCTCCCTCCATCTCTCTCCCTCTCTCTCCCTCCGTCTCTCTCCCTTCCTCCCTCTCTCCCTCCCTCTCTCTCCCTCCCTCTCTCCCTGTCTCTCTCCCTCCATCTCTCTCTCCCTCCATCTCTCTTCGTCCCTCTGTCTCTCTCTCCCTCCCTCTCTCCCCACCCCCAGTCTCTCTCTCTCTCCCTCCCTCTCTCCCCACCCCCAGTCTCTCTCTCTCTCTCCCTCCCTCTCTCTCCCCCCACTCCCTCCCTCTGTCTCCCTCCCTCCCTCCCTCCATCTCTCTCTTCCTATGTCTTTCTGTCTCTGGCTTTATGTGACTCCATCTTTCTCATTCATTTTTCCAACAAGCATCCTGACCCGGGTCTCTGTGTCTGTCTCAAACCATCTCTTTTTGTTAAACATAAAATGCTTTTCAGATAAAATCAGCCACGCATGTTCAGTGGATAAAGCTTGAAAAATACACAAAAGCGGCTGGGCGCGGTGGCTCGCGCCTGTAATCCTAGCACTTTGGGAGGCTAAGGTGGGTGGATCACCTGAGGTCAGGCGTTCAAGACCAGTCTGGCCATGCTGGTGAAACGCCATCTTTACAAAAAAAAAAAGAGAGAGAGAAATACACAAAAGCATAAAAGAAAAAAATCACCTATAACTTCACCCTCGTCCTCTCCTCCCTCATCCCACTTCTGGAACAATTCGTCCCAATACATAGGAATTTTCCACGTGTTTATTTGTGCATATGTTTTCTGACTACCAAAGTAACACTTGCTCCTGGTAAAAGATTTCATCGATATAGAAACATACAACTTGGAGAGTTAAAGTGAGTCTCGTATTTCACCTCCTGGAGGTAAATATTTTTTAACAATTTGTCACTGTTCCTCCTTTTGTTTTCCTTTCTGTGAGCAATTTCACCCAAATTGGAACCATGCTGTATACAGTTTGGTAGCCGGCTTTTTATGTCTTACCATTATCTCTCATTTGCATTCTCCCACATCTTTAATTATAGTGTATCAGTTAGGGCCCAGCAGGAAACAGATGGCCCCGTCAATTTAGGATAATTTGAGGTGGGGTTGATACCAGAAGCCTTTATAACTCGATTGGATAGCGAAGCAAATGACAAGAGCTAGTGCAAGCTCCTAGGGCCAGCATGGTGAGGGCCTCATCCACAGGCCTCAAGGAAAGGGAGAGGGTTGAGGGTGTGCGTGTGGTTGCCTGACTTGGGGAAGAGTCACTTAGATTCATGGAGGAAGCAGCCAAATTGTAGTGGCCCCCCCATAGGGAGGAGCCCCAGGGAACAAACACCCTGACCTCCTCTCCCCTCTACCTGGGGCCCAGAGCAGGGTGGAGAAGCAGGGACAGTAGATAAGGAGGGACAAATGGAAGACATCCCCCACTGCCACACCACTATTAGAGCTTCCATTCCAGCAGGATTATTCAGTAACCAACCCGTGATTGCTAGGGTGGTAGATTTTTCATTCTCTCAACAGCAGCTTTTGCAGAGCAGAGGTCACTTTTTGCTTTTGTGTTTTTGGACATGGTCTCACTCTAACCCAAGCTGGAGTGTAGTAGTGGCAAAATCGCCGCTCACTGCAGCCTCCATCTCCCAGGCTCGAGCCATCATCCCACTCGGCCTCCCAAGTAGCTGGTATGACAGCGACCTGTCGTAGGTGCGTGCCACCAGGCCTGGCTAATTTTTTTCCCCAGAGAGGCTGTCTCACTCTGTTACCCAGGCTGGTGTGTTTCCATTTCAATATTCTTGAAATGAAAAAATTATAGAAATAAATAGCAGATTAGGGGTTGCCAGAGGTTAAGGAAGGGAGAGGAGTGGATGTGGCTATTGAAAGGGCAACATGAGGGATCTTGTGGTATGGTGGAGTGTTTTGTATCTTGTCTGTATCAGTGTGGTCTGGCTAGGCTTTGTGTCCCCAGCCAAATCTCATCTTGAATTGTAATCCCCAGGTGTTGAGGAAGAGACCTGCTGGGAAGTGACTGGATTGGACTGTGGGGGCGGTTCCCCCCATGCTAGTCTCCTGATAGCGAGTTC